CAGACCAATCCCCTCGGGGATCCTCCAGTTGTACTTGCGCTGAAAAATTCAAGGCAACGACTTGAAGTGACTCTCGCCTTGTGAGGAAAGAGGCTGAAGAAGCAGGTCCCGGAGTAGCGGTAGCTCCGAGGTTAAGCCATACGTCATGCGTGATGATGGAGGAAGGAGCGCCGCCACCGCCTACTTGATTCGTGGACCATGGGATGTGATTGATCTTGAGTGACTGGCAGACGTGAGAAATCGCCTCTGAGACAAACAAATCAATGTCTTTGCCCGTGACAGAATCACGACTGGCACACTGTTTCATCTCGTCAATGGCGACCCGCATTACAGCAAGGAAGTGGCCGCCAGTGATGAAGGGAGGTTGACGTCGAGGAGTGGGATTCGTGCTGCACTGTTTGACAATGGTGTCGACGAAGAAGGAAAGTGGTTTGCTGCCGAGATGAGATTTTGTAAGCTCAAGTTTTCTATTACCGTCGTTTGTATTGATAATAGCCCTCAGGAGGTATGCCAGGATGTGGCTGGAATAGGAAAGAGGGTACTCTTCGTCTAGCCATCGGCTGAGGGCTGTATGCCTGTCATTGGCAGTGCGTCGTGCATGCCTGTCATTGCCATCGAGGGCAGGCTGGATTTCCTGCAAAACTCCGTCCTGAACTAAACGTTTGACGTCGTCAAAATAAACCATGAAGCCTATCTGAGCTGCATAGCAAGCAACTCGCATGGAATGATTGCAGATCTGAGGGTAGATCCTTGCCGGCAAGTGATTGATCGCATGTCTGATCGTGAAGCGAGCCTCGTATGCCTATACGAGTGGTTACGTTAGTTACTTATTGCCCGGGGGAGTTCGTCAGAAAATTATATGCTAAAGATACATATTTATGCGGATATAAAATGCGTGCGCATGGAGTCTGGAGAGGGAAATATGATCTAAATGCTTACCTCATAATGATCTTTGCCGTACGTGAGTTCCTGTGTCCTGCGAGATGAGGTGAGAGGACGTCGCGTGTCCTGATCCACTGGCCAGGATTCCTGACGGATGACTAGATTTCCGGTTGCGAGAGATCCGTTTGCCACGAAGGTGTCAGATACAGAGGGCAATCCATCATGTATAATGCCCAACGAGATCCAAGCTCTATCCATCAGTCTCCTGCATAACACGCGTGCATTTCCGGTGTGGCTAAAGTTGAGAGCCCGTTCAACCATTGACGTGAACTCAATGAGGCAAGGGTCGATCACTGCACCCTCAACAAGAGTGTGCTTATGAGCATCCCAAATCTTTTCTAATAAAGCGGTTAAAGGAAAGGTAGCCCATGCAAATAACGAGGGAATGCGCTGTGACATCATAATGAACCCCGTAAAAGAAACGACAAAGGGACACGCACATCTGGCTTAAAGACAACGATTGTGTCTCTGATGGGTAACAGGACGGTAGGATGGCTCCAAGCTTTCAGAAGGGGTGTTATTACTTGGTCGTATATAGCGCTGCTCAGTTGGTCAGAACGAGGATCAAAAATACAGAGGTGCAGGAAACTGACCTTCCGTTTCGACATGCATCCCTCATGCGATAAACATCCAGCGTGTAGGTATTTTCAAATCGAAGCGCCTGAGGCTGGTTGTTGCCAGACACCTTTTCATTAAAGCGTTCGTGAGGGAGGCTATCATTGCATTGATCGAGACGTTGTGTCCAACGACGTCGACTGGCAATACCTTTGGCTGCCGTTCCTGACAAAGCTGCAGAGATCATTCCAAGTTGAACGGGGTGAAATTTTGCTTCATTCCTGACGCGATGAGACAGTTCATTGTAGACCTGACAATTGATTCCGTGGAGTACCGAGGCACCGTGAACACGAACATCAATGTCTTCACCATCTTCGTCACCATCTATTAGGGGTGGACGGAGGGAATTATCTATCCGGGTAAGATGTGGAAGGAAATTTGATATGATGCTTCGGGACTGAATGTTACCAAGCGTCTTTGTGCATGCGAGTGGATAAATGTCGAATGGAGCCCTATTGTGAGCATTCCCATGAGCATCGTCTTCGGAGCGGAAGAGTTCATGGACGGAATGAAGGTTAAGAAGTGCTCCACATGCAGAGAACTGCACGGGAGCACGCCGAGGGACCCTGAAGCCCTCTTCGTTATAGACGTTGACCTCAAACCCTTCCTCGTCCAGTAAAGGAAGATCTTCCAGGTTTACCTCAGCCCTCGTTGGGTCGTTGTTTGATTTATCGTAGAGAATATCATCTTCATGCCGCTGGTGATTGTGAACATCGCGCCATTCCCGAACATCCAGATAGCTTTTGGAAGCGAGTCAATCCGAGAAGCAAGGGAGACGTGCAACTTTCCTACCTCATATGAGTGGCCAAAGAAAATGTAAACTGTCGTATATATGAATAATTGCGGTCGTTGTCCCAATTTTGACGCTCGACATCCAGTGCCCTATTGTTGATGAGGGGCTGGTTTTGCCCATACCGAATAGTAACCCCTACTGGCGCATTGTTGACAAGAAAATTATCCTCTTTCCATTGCAGAGGTGCTAGGTCCACCCAGTCGTTCCAGCCAGTGTCGAACATATCGTGAAGCCGTCTGAAATCTTCAAGTCGTAAGATGATACGACGGTGATTTTCCCCATCCCTTCCCCTTAAAATAAAACATCAGTATGAGATTGAAGAAAGCTGAAAAGCACTTACAAGATATCTGTCGATCGCTTCACAGCGGCACGAGTGAGGGGGACAGGATACGGTGTACTGCAGTGGATGTCCTGAAGACGCATGCGACCCAACGCATAAGCAATGAACATAATGAACATCAACGAATGCGACTGAGATAGGGCGGTAGTGGGTTCATTGAGCGTTGGGTGAGTAGCTCTTGCGTTGTCTGGGTGATTGGGCTCAAAGAATGTTCTTGGGACTAACGCGACCCATAGTTGCTCCTGCAGGCGGGTTCCAATATACACCATACGTCCCATTGGGTTGAAAGGAAGGCCCGCGACATTGCTGTCGGGCCACAAGCGGTGTACATTCGTCAAGTCCAAGATCACCTGCCAGTTATGATCTGCCAGGATTTTAGGTAACCCAGCGTCTAGTCCCTGACGACTACCGACGTAGAGGGTATGGTCAATATAATGAGGACCCACACGAGGGACCACATTTGGTCCATCCCTTGGAACGATGTGATCGTCATCAATAATTAGTCGGTGACGTCCAGATAATAGTCCCATTGCACCCAACGAATCCCGATTGCGGTACATGGCGCGCAACTTACTAAGAGTGATTCCCCGAGGACGGCTGGTATTGAATTTGGTCATGTAATCTTGATTAGCCTCGACCTGCTGCTGGTACAAGGCAACGTGCACTTCGTCTTGACGATGTCCATCCCCTGCAGCCAGCTGTTGCGGAAGCTCGGATACATCAAAAGGAATATTGTTAGGTTGTTCGTCAGCATCGACGTTACGATGCTCTGCGACTTGGGGATCATCGTTCCGTGACCTGCGAGGATGAGGGTGATGAGCACCAACGAAAAGACTAGTCCAGTGAAGCTGTTACCCACAATCCATGGTGTGGGACATTCACGTCCATGTTTCTATGGCCAAATTTTGAGATCGGAGAGCGTGGACACTTGCCAGTGGGAGGCGTCTGCTTGAGACCAGAAGGGAGAAACTACCAGTGTAGTACTTATATTCAAGGTCAGTGGGTTTGGACTCGACCATATTATATATGGTATAATGGAAACCCAGGAACCTTTTCTACTAAGTAGATATACGTGAAAGCGAGTTGGCCGATGCAAGATCTGAAAATGAGAATTAGTCGAAAGTGCTTAAAAGCTCTCCCCTGAGATTTCGTTATTATTCGGGTTGTATGATACTATTATTAATTTGTAATCAGGAAAGTCGGACTCTGAAACACGTGCAACGTGACTTACACGCGTTACCGGCGCGAGTTTACTTGCCCCAAACCATGACAAAACATAATGCATAAGCGCTTAAGTCGTCGACTCATGTTACATGCAGCTGCAAAATCTGTTCATAAGTACATTATTTGTCATCTTCCCCGTCGACGGTGTCGTATACGTACTCACCTTGTATCTGGTTGAACAAAGTCGTAATCGTCAGTTTTTAGACTTGGGAAGCGAGATTTTATGAATATCCCCTCGATTACTGTTTTGTGTGATCAGCCCACCCTAAGTTCACGCCGTAGCTTCAAACTTCTTTTTTGACTCCCCGACCGCCCTGCTAATTTTTTGCCTTTGCGCCGTTCTTGTTATCAGGGGCAGCGCAACTTTATTAATCGATCGTGGGAGGAGTAAAAACAGCTTGCACAATCAATTACATAACGTTAATCATCATCTAAAAGAGACCTCGTGCTCGAACCGAGCTGGGAAGTTATCTGAGACAACGCAAATATGGTATAGTCAGGGCAGGTAGTTCGTAACACCATATCATACTGTTTTAAGTGCTTAAGTAATTGCTGCTGTAGTGTTTTAATGATTATTGCGATGCATTATGGGTGGAATAGCGAAAATTGTGGGAATCTAAGACAAAAACTACAAATTGTGATCCAAAATTTATGCTTGAATGACCAACTCAAAATCAGATAGCGCAAGGGTACAAGATCCCTGTTGTGACCTCCCACAAATAATTAAATGGTCCATCCACCTGCTGAGACTCATCTTCTTGGCCTCACTGAGAGAATCTAGGTAAGAACCAACAGTCTTGAAGGTAGCTTGGCCCTCATCCACAGAAAACCTATTCTGTGTGAATACTAGCTGGCCTTGTTCTAATAATGCATGCTCTGTCATTGTGCATGCAAGGGAAAACACATAATGTAATGCCTGACAGGGTGAATTGTGCTCATCGAGTAGTATGTGAAGCTTGGAGTTGTTAGCCAAATGAATTTGAGGAGAGGAAAAATGAATTTGTTTGGCATTCTGACAAATGATCAGCCTCCCATCCTAAGGATTAGTTGGATTGTGATTTGAAGAAGAAGAAAAAAACATACTTCAGTGAACACATAATCATGCATATATGCATGTGGACTGTCTCGAATGAGATGATGTACTCGATCAATGTGAAACTGATCTGGTGGAATAACACAATTGTGTTGGGGAAGAAGGTTGTATGCCATCACAATATTCTGCTGTGCAATGGTCATCATCGTGGAGCACACCACTGTCACTGCTCGCCAAATTGTCAAAACATCCTTCTGGGCAGCTGTCCATTGAGTTAGCCCTACCTCTTAATCAGCGTCAGTTATAAGAGTCCTTAATGAACTTACCACGAAGGCTTGGTATGGAGGGCACTGCTTTATTGATCATTTCTGTGATGATGCAGTTTTGATTCATGGAAGATGATGTGATTGTGTCAGAGGTAAAAACGGTGCCTTTGATCTTGTCCCTCGAGAGGCTACAGACTTTCTTGCAGGCTGCCACACTGACTTCAGGCTGGACGTCACTACCAACCAATGTTGCAGCCACTGAGGATGGACTGGTAGTAGCTGTAGCTGTGGGAGTGGGAGTGCACATCGAGTGTGAGGGTTGGCTGGTAGTAGCTGCAGGAGTGGGAGTGCGTGTTGAGTGTGTAGGTACAGAGTAAGGTGCTGTTAAGGTCGCGTGCTCAAGGGGGTCGGATCACAAGGGCTTGGCCTCAGCTCATATGCTGTGCCCCTTTCCCGAGTATGTGCCCTTAATTTCTGGGGGCTAGAACAGTTGTCTGGAGTTTCTGGGTTTTGACTAGGGTGGATAATGGACATCCGGATGTTACCTGGGCAAGTGGATAAGACTAATCCGGATGAAGTCCAGACTAGAAACTAACAGAGGATGGACTACCCTTAAGGTAGAGTCGGAAATGTAGTCTAGGATGCAATCCTAAGACTTGGAATATGACAAGAGACTTATCTCGAGTCCAGAGGACACAGGAATGAGCAGGAACTAAGATGATATTCAAACTGGAGTATTTCCAAGAGTTACAGGAGGTTTATATACTGTAGGTATCATATAGGAATCAGTCAGCAAACATAAAGGCTATGTACAAAGCATATGCAGAGTCTATTAGTAAGTAGGATGGATCACAAATAATGAACACCGGAAATGAAATGTATGTAATGGATCAATAATCAAAAGGGAAACATGGTTAACTGGAGTCCGGAGACAGGGGCAGTCTAAATGGAGTTGGGCGCTGATATAGGGTTTGGATTCTGGAAGGGAGATAAAGATAGATCAGATCATTTGAGATCCAGATCTCAGATCTAGATATCTGGAGAAGCAGATTTAGAGTTGAGAGTCCGGAATGGCATATGACAGGTGCCAATGATGGCGTTGGGGGCATGCATTGGGAGTGTCAGCATCTTTCAGAAGATCTTGTGGGACCTAATGTCTAGTAACAATATTAAAATGTATCATGAGCTATAGAAGAAAAAGCTTACATGTATAACATTGGAAGCTGGTATTTCATCTGCTGTTGGACCATATATCAGTGCATGCTTGGCATCAGCATCACCGCCCAGCCAATAGGGTATGGGTCTGGTAAGTTGGGTTGGCACTATGGGCACTGGGTCTGGCACTGGGGTTGGTGCTACGTCTGATGGGTCAGGTGCTGAATGTGATGAATTCATTAGAGGTAGTTTTCAATAACAAAAGAATACATACATGAGATGAACAAGGGAGCATTGTAGTTGATGCTTGAGGGAGCACCAGCTGGGCCATAGCCAGCACCAGACAATGAGTTGCTGTAGCCAGTGCTAGGCAGTGAGTTGCCATAGCCAGCACCAGACAGTGAGTTGCTATAGCCGATGTAGCTGTTGAAGCTAGCACTTGAGGGACCTGAATAGCCATAGTTTGAATGGCCTGTGCTTGGCCTGCTAGAGATTTAAGTGGTACATGACAAAGTAGACAAGTGGACTTACTGGTTGTGTGCATCAAAGGTGGGCTGCTGCTGGTGTGGATTGAAGCTGGTCATTGGAGGTTGCGGCTGTTCATCAGGAAGATTGATCTGCATGTCTGCAGATACATGGGAAGGGTTAAGACTGGACCCTCGAGCAGGTTTCAGAATTGTCATTTTACCTTTGCACTGTGGGGCACGTCTGCTAGTCACACAGAAAGAATCATCTGGGGGAGGGCAAAGGGCAATCAATTACAATTCTAATACAAATGAAAACAAATGATACATCTTGTGACTCAATGATGTACTTGTGACCATGAGTTAAAGAAGCAGAGAAATGAAGGGGTAAGGATGTAAAAAAACAGTGTGCATATGACAAACCAATAGAATCAGGAAAGGGGCCATGATAAAAGAACAACATGTGTATTACAACATTCCTTATCAATTAATTAGTGTGGTATAATGAATGGACACATGTACACCACTTACCATGATAAGAAGCCCAATAGCCTATGGTGTGGTAGCCACACATGATCCTTTGGTACAAGTGCCAAGGTTTTTGGTAAAATCCATGTAGGCTCCTGGATATATTGGATCATCTTCATCATGATCAAGAACCTCACTGCCAGTGGGGGATCTGGATCCATTGGCCCCAGATTTCACAGATGCCTTGCTGACATCATCATCATCATTGACAACCCCAGGTTCAGATGAAGGGAATCTGGATGCTCCAACTCCAGATTGGAAAGCTTTACTGACATGCAAGCCTAAAACCTTTGCCACATGCTCAGCTTGGGATGAGACAATCCTAAGGATTTCACATTTGTCCTCATAGACCACTTGAAGGTAGTCTCTGTCATCATCAACTTCTGTGTGGTTACACTCAGAAAAGAGGCTCCTAAATTTGTGTAACTGGTCTTCTGTGAATTTGAGCCTGTCTTCATTGTTGACATGCATGGCTTCAAGGAACACAATGAAGTGCTCAGCTTGTTTAATTTCCCGTGCAGTTGCCAGCACGCACTGGCACACAGTCTCACAAGCAGCCAGTTGTGCTTGATATCCTTTGTACAGCATTGAAGGACATATTTGCCTGAGGCCATTCTCTAGGTGTCCAGCATGCTTTGTAAAATATCAATGAGTCTTTGGAAGTGGATAATATACATATATGATACCTTGAGAAGAGATTTGCTGGATACATATGGTCTGCATTCTCGCCCCATAACATGAGCTGCAAAATGAATCTCAAGTGGAGCTGGATCAGAAGGGTATGGAATGAACTTCCTGCTCATTCTGTCACATATGAGCTGACATTGAGCACTGTGGGAAAGGTCCGGAGATGCTGATGGATTATAAAATAAGCTGTCTGACCCTTTAGTAGCAGAAGCCATAGTCATAGGCAGTGGTGTCTTCTCTGCTGAGGAGATGCCTTTGAGTGAAGTAGATAGTTCAGAATGTCTGGTGTCAGGGGAGCTGCCTAAGATATGTGTGGAATCAAAAAGAGGTGACCTGGGAGTTGAAGAACATCTTGATAGAGGAGATGATGGGGGACTGCTTGATGGAGGGGGATGAGTTGGAGATGAAGGTGGAAGTGAGGTGGGCATGCTGGGTCCTGGAGTGACTGAAAAAATCACCTATGTTTATGTGCTAATGAGTTTGTCTCTCTGCCCTTAGTGTCTCTGGCTGTCAATGCAGCTGATGATACTGATATGCTGTGAATACAGTCAGCCTGCATGCAGCAGAGTTTGAAAGACTTGGTGAATTCTTGACTGCAACACTGAGCACACTGCCCAAAGTAAATGTGCATATCATTTGCTCTCATTTTAGTATACTTATTAGTGTACATACCTTTGCCAGGCTGTGTCCCAACTGCAGTGGGGAGTTCCCTTCCATTGAAACTGTTGTTCTGCATCTTAATTCCCAATCTACCTGTTGGCCACACAAAGCACATCTGCAACAATTGCCTGTTCCCCCTGCATTGCGAGGTTCACATTCATTAACATCTGATGCCACTGGCCATTGTCACCCTCACTCTGAATATGTCTTTGGTGTCAGCAAGAACCTATTTGACAGGTTGCAGGAAGATCAATATAATTATTGGCGGGAGACTAATGCTTATTATCCTTTCTATAATGAGGGAGAGTGGGATCTAGCCAGGTTCTTGGTTGAAAACCTGAATCAGACTCAGATTGACAAGTTCTTGAAGTTGAAATGGGTAGGAGACTCTAAGCACTATTCAGCAGGTCTGACTCTTCCTTCACAGTTTAGCACTCGCCCAAAACCATCTTTCACCTCAAAAAAAAATCAACTTCTAGGCTGGATGGACACACTACCATGCTTTGCAGAGTGGAAAGTTTCATGCCTAGAGTTTACAGGCTACAAGACAACTCATCCCATTCAACTCATTTGGCATGATGCTTTAGAGGTCATCAAACAACTTTTCAGTGACCCAGTTTTTGCCAATCATATTACCTTTCAACCACATATAGCCAATGTCAGGAATCAGCACAAGTATGGTGATTATATGAGCACTGATTTGGCATGGAAAATTCAGGTTGGTTTGCCCTACTTAGCCTATGACTTAAAGATTAATTCCATATAGGACCATCTCCCATTAGGTGCTACACAAGTTCCAATCATCTTAGGATCCAACAAAACTCCTGTGACAAGAACCACTAGAGGGCTCAAGATGCACCCCATCTTCATCACTATTGGTAATTTTGATTTGGACATTCACTCCAAGGCCACACTTCGAGCTTGGCGCTGTATTGCGTACATGCCCATTGCAAAGTATCCCAATTATCAATCCATTTTTCAGGCATGGCTGTGGCATAAGTGCATTGATCTTGTCTGTGCCAACCTTAAACTGGCAGCCAAGAATGGTTGCTTTATGTCTAATCCTTCCAAGTTCATTCATTACATCTTTATGCCACTCATCACTCACGTATGCGACCTGCCAGAGGCTTCCATGATCACTGCTGTCAGCAAAAATGCGTCTCCCCTGATGATGGCATTACAAGAAAATTTTGGTGATGGAGTTCTTTATCCCCCTGGTACAGGGCAACACATGCTACAACTTATATATGAGATCTCCAAAACAGTTGATGTTTGGGATCTCAACAAATTCCAGAAGGCAGCCAAAGCTGTCCATCTGTCTGGAGTCCATATGCCATATTGGCATGATTGGATGTTTGTGTGTCCATCTGTCTTTCTCACTGGTGAGATCTTGCATACCTGCCTCAATTTTTTTGCTGACCATCTGCTCAATTGGATCAAGGAGGTAGTAGGAAAACCCGAGCTCAATGCTCGCTTTGTTACTCAGCATAAGTGGGTGGGAACATGCCACTTCACCAAAGGTATCACACATGTCAACCAAATGACAGGCCATGAACATTGAGATATCCAACACACCATTGTTGCTGCAATTGCAGGTGCTGCTCCACCTAGATTTATTTGTGCCATCTGTGCCCTCATTGAGTTCTTTTATCTTGCCCAAAACCCAGTTCATTCTCCAGAAACCCTGCTGTCAATGATGCAAGCCCTTGCAGACTTTCATGCATTCAAAGATGCTGTTGTCAAGGCCCAGGCTAGGAGGGGGAAGAATGGTGCTAAGGAAGATTTTTTCATTCCCAAGCTTGAGCTCCTACAAAGTTTCAGAGGCATAGTTGAGAGACTGGGCACTCTGATGCAATTTTTGGCAGATATGATGGAGTGCTTGCTCATTACTCACTGCAAGGATCTCTTCATATGAACAAATTGGCGAGTCAACAACTTTGTGGAGCAGTCTGTACAGATTCTCAACTGCCAGGAGTCGATGAAACTGTTTAACTTGTATGCGCTGTTTTGTTCTCTTGGCACATCACTTGTCAATGTGATATGCATTGAAGATGAGGCAGTGACAACCATCAATCTGGTGCTCTCTTGGGTTTCTTGTGTTCTCCCTGATGAAATAAATTCTATTCATGGACCTCAACTGGTTCATAACCATTTCCTCAAGGGCATTCTTTCTGAAGATGTGCTCACTGCCTTTCATCTGACATCAACACCGGATTTCAAATCTTTGTCACCCACCAATATTCACACCAAATATTTGCTCACTGACTTTGATGATGCACTCTCTCAGTTCATCAGACGTTCTTCTATCTCCACTGGTGAGCATACCCACTGGGACCATAGATACAGGTGCTTTTATGCATGGAAATTTTTTTGATTGCAGCTTTAATACACCTTCTAGCCACAATTGATCATGCCAAGCAGGGTGATACGAGTGTATCCACCAGATGATGAATTCCCCCTCGGAAACTGTGACAATGTCCTTGTCGACATCACAGGCGACAATGGCCAAATCAGTATGTCTATTCTTGTCTCCATGTTCCAACACTAATGAGATTATATATCATTTCAGCAAGTTGCATTTCACAAGTTTGACTTATTTTTCAGCTGAATCTTCCACATGCCTCTGACCTGGTCTTACCATCATTTCTATCCTGTCCACTCCTCTACATCCAGTACTACCATTTCATTGCCAGTCCTAATGACTGCCCTGAACTTGCAATGTGGACAGTAGAACATTCATACATGGAAGACCAACATGGCAAACACAGGTGTGGTGGCATGGTCCCATTAATGAGTGTAACACACACTGTCAAGTTGATCCCAGAATATGGTGAAAAGGTAGACAAAAAGATCACTTCAGCCATTTGTTTGGAGAGCTATGACCAATTTTGCGGATAAGGAGAGTTATCACACATTGAGTATGGAGTTTGCATAGTATCAGTAGCTCACAATGGCAGCACATGTAGTCTTGAATCTATGCATTAATTGCTGCTAAGTTTTATGAGCATCACTGCTAATTATGAGTGGCCCTAATCTAGGGTTCGGGAATGCATACTACTAGTACAAACCCTAGACTAGTTGTTCAGTAGTGAGATATTTACAGTGAAAGCACAGAAAAATATGTTCCACCAATGGTGTTGCTCCATCACCAGCGCTGTAAGCTCACCATAAGCATCAAACTTCTTTTTGACAAGCGAAAATTATGGGTCTTTTGCTGATGCATTGGCTGTACATGTAGTCAACTGATTAAAATTGTTTATCATTTATTTGTACTCCTCTTCTTTTCAGTGCCTATATAAGGGTCTTAGTGCAATGGAAGAGTCACCAAATTCAATTGTGTTCCCGGATCTCCCAAAACCTTTGCTGACTCTACTCAGGATTCACATGTGATTTTATATTACATATGAATCTCCCAGTGGGAGACCATTCACAAAGACAACATTTGTCACTTGGTTTTTGACCCCCCTGTGGACTCGTGATCCTCATGTCACTATTTGTGCACAGGGTGTAGCCAAAGCCACAGTCAAAACCTTCCAGGGCACTGGTGTCTTTGGACTTGAAATGTTCCTCATGGAAGACAGTAGAAGATAATTTCTCCTGGATTGTGTGAACCAGCCTAACACACAGGTTCTGTCAGGCTCTATCTATATCAACTAAATTGCCCCTCAGCCACATAATTCTGGACATTATACTATAGAGGCTTGTGAAACCTCCCAGTATGAAAATCATCTGTGCGCCATACTCTCACTTCCACTTGGTTCCACATCACTAAAGGTGTCTTCAGCTGCAATGCTGAATATTATTGGCACTTCATCCAACATGGCAGAAGTCATGAACTTTGCATCTAAATGTATCAAGACAGACGGTTGTGTGGTCCATCTGTATGGCAAATCAGAGTGTTGCAAGTGACACAAAATGGGACAGGTCACCATCATGGGCAACTCAGATTCAGAAGTCCACTCTTGCCTGCGACCACTGTTGAAGGCACTGCCATCAGGAAGTACCAAAGAGGAGCTTACTATGTATGCCCCTGAGACCTCTGCACAAGGCAGTGGCTTTCCCCACAAATACCCACTTGTTGAGGTGTGATCATGGGCTCTGATTCCAACCTTCCTGTAATATTGCCGGCTGCTCACATTCTGGATTGGTTCAAGATCCCCTATGAACTCACCATTGTCTCTGCACATTGCACACCAGATCACCTTGTCAAATATGCAAGGTCAGCGAGCTCAAGGAGATTGAGGACGATCATTGCTGGAGCAGGTGGTACAGCACATCTTCCTGGCATGGTTGCTGCCATGACCATGCTTCCTGTCATGGAGTTCCTGTAAAAGGTAGCTCACTCAATGGTGTTTATTCATTGCATAGTATCATGCAAATGCAGGTGAGTTGGGGTCTTTGTGTCTTTATGTGATTCATTGGTGTCTGAGTGTCACCACAGCGAGGTATACCTGTGGAAACAGTTGCAATTAACAGCAGTATGAATGCTGGATTGCTAGCTGTGTGGATTCTCAGAGCTGGTATACCTCATCTGTTTGCAGACATTGATGCATATCTGAGAGGGTTAGAGGGCGAGGTTATTGTGAAGGTCAAGAAGCTGGAAGAGGTTGGCTGGGAGAAGTATGAGGTGAAGTGATAATAATGAAGATCTACACTCCTGTCTGGAAGATGGTGGTTTGCATGCACTGCATTATCATTGAAGGATTGTAAATTATCTACAGAAGATTATACTATGTACCTCAAACCTCTACTCTCTCTAATAGTGCATGTCAAATTCACTATTAGCAGCGGTGTAAGCAAATCTGCTCAATAAATTGCTTGCCACACTAGCAGATCAAACACCTTTTGTTTGTTACTAGCAGTCCTAATTTCAATCAAGAGCTGAAATTCATTTCAAATAATTGTTTTGCTTTCAACCTCTTCCATTTCTGCTTTTCTGAGGGGCATCTGGTAGTAACAAAGTCACCCTGCTTCCATCTGCTGCCCATCCAATGCTTTTGCAGTACATTACCAGGTGAGTATTGAGGCATCCCAACTTCATCATTAAGTCCCATGATTAAATAGTTGACAGAGGAAGACAAAATCTAGGGTAAGGACATGGCATTATCTATATAGTCATAATTGAATGAACATCTTGAGGCACAAGAGATGTCATGAATGATTGGATATATTCACACCTATGCATTCTCTTCTGCATCATCAAGCTGGACCTGGACTAGACCAGCCTCCATTGCCATAGAGTGGAAAATAGAACTCTTGTGCTCCAGCAACTTCTTTGGCATGTCAAATTCTGCAATCTAAATTTCCTAATTAACAACACATTATGAATGAACAATATTGCTGGTTCCTTACCCTTCCAGCATTTAGAACTAGAACCCTATTGGACTCCATGATTGTGTTTAAGCAATGCCTATAGGTTCATCATTATTAGCACTAGTCATCGATGATGGACATGACATATGCAATGGTTAGAATAGTCACATCATGGAAGATTGGACCCCAGATAATTTCTTGAGTTGCTCAGTCAGTATCTAGATCAACTGCAGAAGTTGCTACAGCATCATGCACATTAGCCTTGCAGAAGAACAAGACATGGCTCATACAGACCTTCATTAAGGATGAGCACTTTAGTCTAGGGAGTGTCGATGATGAAACCTTACGATCAACCAAAACAAATGTGCATACCTTGCACAAAAGCACTCTCATGAAACACAAGAGTTGTCTCTGACCTGCTGAAAGTGATGAACCAGCCTCCTGAACCAGAGCATCTAGTCCCCCAGGGAGTGATTTGATGTATGTCTTTGGATGCACCTGTACAGGTGTCATTAGTAAGCATCAGAAGCGCAAGCACATTTTGAAGATGTACATGTTACAGAGCAGTCCATATGTCAACATCCTGGTGCTTGCCAGCAGGGTTGATGTTCTCTTGCAATGTGCCCTCAAACAAATCTGGACTTTGAGGAACCATGGATATTGCAGAATGCACTTGATTAAAGGTATCTATACAGAGAATTTAGGGAAGACACACAGTCATGGAGGCCAAGTTTGGTAATATCTACTTTGTCAATGAAGATAGTTCCAGATGCAGACTTGATGATCTGGAATAGTGTGAGAAGAAGCTGCAAAACCATTGTTACAGTCCAAAAACAATAGCAAATGACTTACAGATGATTTTCCTGCCCCAGTTTGGCCACATATTCTGATTTTCTCTCTGGGTTTCTGAAGCATCTGAAGTCAGCATGCATTTGTGGGAAAGCTAGCAGAATAACTGACTATGGTCATGGAAATATCCTTGCCACCTACCAGTGAACCTGTCATGTTCAAAGCATAAGACAGAACTAGATTGACTAAACCCACATCAACATCACTGGTCACAATAGCAGAGACAGCTAAAACAGCTGTGACAAAGATGATTACTGCTCCAACAAACTCCAATCTCACTGCAAGCCACTGATTTACAGCAGTACTAGGGAGGTAGCACAACTGATTACAATCAATGTGGCATGTGTTGTTTGCAATGAAAACAGATTGTTGGTCATAGTCCTGAATAGTGGAAAGTCCAGCCAAGGATTCTGAGAACCATGCAAAGATGGGTGAGCGAGACACCACATCTAGACACTTGAGTTCATGCAACATTGCAAGATAGTACCTATCAATAGTGTCAGGATGACTCTGGAAGAAGAACAAGGCCATTCATACGAGGTGATCCTGGAGTAGAACTACACCAGAGGGGCAATGGCAATCAAGAAGGGCAGGAAGCTGAACCCGATGATGAATATAATAGAAGCGCAGCCTGTGCTCATGCATACCATATTTTGAATCACTCGCACAAGGATTTGATCAACAACATATATATCATAAGAAAACAAGTTCAAAATACTGCAACAAGAGATTGTTCAATCTCAATAAAACCATTCCAATTTACTGATCTGGTGCACTGTCCTGTTGGTGTTGTCTCAAAAAAGCTGAGTGGTACATGCATGACCAAATGCAGCATCTGCAAATTCAATGAAGAACATTTCATCAATACTTGGAACATAACACTAACCAAATCATCAAGGTGCTTTGAGCTCCAAAGTGAGCAGAAAACCCAAATCAGAAGTGCAGCACATGCACTCAAGGAAATGGCCACCAAATTAAACAAACCATATCCAAGGAATTACTTATTAGTCAATCCTATGTTGGTACCCATCTTGCGGTTATGCTCACCCCAGAGCCTGAGCATCATGGTTAATGTGACAGATACCACCTGCTGCAGGACCATAGCAAGTACAAAGAACAGGAACCCCTTTCTTGATGCTGCATGGAGGTACTGCAAGTACACTTCCATCTTGATGTGGCCCTGTTCACTGTGCTCCTTCATAATGCCATCAGAAGAGGCATTGCAGAGCTTGGGTGGTGTAGTGAGGATGGCTTTTTTGAAACTTTCTCTACATAATACCTTCTCTGATACACATTCAAGCCCTCCAACAAGGGTGGCTTGCATATCCTCATCTCCCTCGCTTGTAGTAGGAGTGGCCATGTTGCTGGACTGTCTAGGTGTGGTCATTCCAGAGCTAAGACCACTCACAGTGTGACCGCGACTATCATTAATTCAATTAGATTGCATCAAACATCATAGATCAAAATATATGTACACAAGCTTGCATACTTCACTATCCAGATTCAACATCAACTCATTATATGAGCCACTATCCAAGATAATGCTGCAGTGCAGGTAAACAAGGTGGTCAAAATACTTGAGATATGAAATGCTGTTAGCAACAAGAATGCATGCTTTGGTTGTGAGCAAGCCTTGAGGACTGATAACATGATCTATTTACATAAAATTGTTATTTAAAGGAGTCAGTCTGGGACCAGATGTTTTCACTCACCAAAGACATGTCAGGCAACATGGGAATTGACAGCAGCCAAAGAAGAATCCTGCAGGATGTATGCATCAGTAGTGCACTGTGTGAACGCAAAAGGCACTTACAGATCTGAACAAGCATAGATTGCATGAGCAAACATGACATGCACACATTGGCCACCACTGAGCTGAGAGATCATTTGCCTTTGACAGATACTTTACTATGCCAAAGTACTCACAGTAATGCCTATAGAATGGACACAATGAACATTATTGGGTCGCCAAAGGGATGGACAAAAACATACCTTTTTTACTGACCTCAGTCAGATCACCTTGTGGGAGAAGCTCTAAGTCGGGCTTCAAAGCACAAGCTGTAGGGAAGATTAGCCCTAATTCCACACAACTGATCATGTACATACCTTCAATAACAAGGTTATAGAACACCTCATCATACTCATGTGAGAAAAGGATGTTATCTTGAACTGTTGCAGAAAGAATTCTGCTCACCTGTGAGCCAACATGCTAAAAGTGCCTCATATACAACATACCAAGGATTCTGAGCAGCATATGCCACATTGCCAAACAAAGCCACTTCGCCCTCTGTCTTTCACATGTCCCTGATAATCACTGACAACAAGCTACTCTTCCCACTGCCCACACAACTGAGTACACCCACTAGCTCCCCCTTTTGGACTGTCAAGTTGATGTCTTCCAGGGCAGCTGACATATCTTGTTTGTTCCAATGGAACTTGCTGCCTTTGATTGAAAGCACCTGTCACAAATGTGAGAATGATAATCCAGTAGACAGAGAATGCCAACCTTGTTGCCAATGTTCAAACTGTCTTTCTGCACTTTCACAAGGGCATTTTGTTGCAGCTCCTCAGCATGCAGGAAGTCTGACAGATGCTTGGCAGAGCCAAGTTCCTCAATGTTGTTTGATGTGATTTGACTACATCAGGAAAAAAAGAATATTGGTGTAGTCCCAGTGACAGCTACATAGTGCTATGTAGCTGAAATAAGGGCTATGTAGAGCTACAGGAGGCACTGGGAGTCACTGTAGTCAATATTCCCACATTGTAATTTTATGCAGCACTGTAGTGCTATTCTATATTCTAAGTAATCACAGTTGATATACAGAAAGTCTCAAGGTCAATGAACATATTCAAGTAAAATTCACTCACCAACTCATACACATTCACACTCATCCATGTAGGATTGACCAATTGACACATCTTCAGTATTAGGTGACATGGACAAATAATCTCGTCAACATGTATCACAGCCACATTCCAACACAAGTGATGAGTCAAACATGAGACTTGATGCACCACCTACTGTCATTCTGATGTATTATATATGACACTGTCACAAGAATACTGATACATAAGTGTGAGAATCTGTCAGTCCTCGGTATATAGCACCAGCATGGCAATGATACATCAGTCCTGTGGCATCAGTAAATCGCAGGTTTACCTTTTCAACCTTATATCACTTATTTTATGAAACAAGGCATGAAAGTTCACTAATCACAACTTTTTTCACTTATTCTTTGGACACAAAAAGTTGGCACATAAAATTAAGTTGAAGGAGTGAAATAAGTAAGATAAGATAAGAGAAAAATGTAAGAGTCCAACTGTGCTCAACCAACTGCCAGTGGTTAGTACTAGAATGACTAGTGAGTAGAGTAGCCTAAGAAGCTATTTCGAAGGCATGGTGGTTTGTGAATCTGTTAACATAGAATAGTGTGAATATGTCAAGGACATGATGGAATTTAATTGATGGCAAGAGCAGGGTTGTACCAAACACTGGAATTAGGTGAGCTGCACAAAAAATAGTGTCAATATGAATGACTGCAAAGTGTGGGGTGTTATGCATTGCAAAAGCTGGCTTAACCATCCACATGCCAGTATCAGAATCAGCTGTGTGACCAACCCAATCAAACCAACAGACAAGTGCACATGGAATCTGTTCACCATGCTGTCAAAGAGAGAACAATGCCATAACACAGGCTACATCCATACCCTGCATCTCACAAATGTCTGGGTCAGTGATGACAAACACACAATCATTGCATGCGCACTCATTTCTCCATAAGGGACAAGCACATATATGTCCACACTTCATACTGCCAATTCTACTAAGGTTGCTGGGTGCATGAAATGTCAATGATGCAGAGTTGAATATGGAAATTCAACCTTGATAGTATGGGGACTCCAGGAGAGGGACCTCAGTAGGGTTGTGAGCATCTTCAGGATTGGATTGTTCAAAGAGGAACCATCGAACAAGGTTGGCTAAGTCAGGAATATTGAGCTTGATGCTAAGCTCCAGAATGCTTTGTGCTTGTTTTGACCCTTCTATGCACTGTGTTAAAAATCATGCTCAAAGGAGAGAGAGACTGACTCAGAGGGGCTTGGCCTCAGCTCATACGCTGTGCCCCTTACCTGAGTATGTGCCCTTCATTTCAAAGGAAGTCCAATGATGGTCCAACAAAGTCCAGAGGACTTCCAGAGGCTGGCTACTCTGGTGGAGAGTGCTAGAGGACTTCTGGAGGAGCACGGGAGAGTTCCCACTGCAAGGTAGTACTTCTACAGGAAATGGGATGGAAGGGTAGGATGTCCGGAGGTCCAGAGGACAGGAGGATAGGATGTCCAGAGGTCCAGAAATATGGAGGACAGGAGGACAGGATGTCCAGAGGTATGGAGGGCGGAACATCCAAAGGACAGGACACCTGGAGGTGCACAGGACAGGATGTCCAGAGGTCTGGAAGGAATAGGGGCTACATTGGACAAAGTCCGATGTAGAAGCAAACAGAGGTAGACTACCCTTAGGTAGAGTCAGAGAGACAGGAAGTGGACCAAAGTCTAGAGAGAGGGTAAGTGCCAGAAAGGCAAGACTCCAGCCTAGGGAAGCAATCCCTAGACTTGGGACAGAGACATAGGGGACAAATCCGAAGGTCCAGAATTCCAGCCTAGGGGATCCATCCCTAGGCCTTTATGGAAATGGACAAACTCAGATGGACTGAAGTCCAGAAGAAGATTAGGCAAGTCTAAGGTGATATTCAGACTAAGGAAACTACAGGAGTATCTACAAGGGTTATATACTGGAGAATATCTGAGGGGATCAGTAAGCAACAGAGTAAGGCTATGTACGAGCATGTGGAAAAACATTTGGTAAGTAAGATGGAACATAAGTAAATGAACTTGGAGATGAAGACTTGTACAAGGATCAATCAGCAAGATGGAAACAGAGATAACCGAGAACTGGAAAGGCAGAGATGCCTAAATGGGGATAGGCGCAGGATCTCAGATAGAGGGTGGGAATAGGTCTGGAGATAGTAACAGTTAATATCCAGAGGTCCGGAGATCTGGGGATCTGGAAGGCAGGGCAGAAACAGGACTGAGATATGTGAGGTGGTAGATGTAGTCCGGAATCCAAGAGGAGGTAAAGTCCAGATGTCTTGCTGGATGGAATGTGCATAGGGTGGACAGGATAGGGGATCCAGGAATGAGTCGGATATGGGGTCCGGAAATAGGTCCAGAAAGCGTGGGAATATGATGGGATCTATGTCTGGCATATGGGATATGACACTGATTCTCAGTATATAAAATGAAAATCAATGAAGGTGTACTTATGGGGTGTCTTACTAAGTTCTACATGTGTGAGGACTGATGTGGGGTTGTCGATGATGTCAATGTCATTGTTCTCATCTTCTCTGGTGGCTCACATTGGTCCACATTGTGATGCTCTCCAGGGGCTTCTGCGTTCAACACAGCAAGAACAGAAGATAGATAGGTGCCATTAAGCATCCCATGAGTGTAAAAATCTTGACACAATGCAGTCAACTTGTCCAGGCATTGGTTGGTCATGAGCATCTGGCCCAATGCTTTGTAGCAACTGGACTACCTCCATGGTTCCTTTACAGCCTTAATGTGCTTGGATTCTGTGATAGAGGAACAAAGTGCATTTGGAGCACCAAAAAGTCGAATGAGGGTGTGGTAATGTTTCATTGAGTGTTGTTGAGGGAGTGAGAAGGGAAATTGCGCCAGAGGACTTGAAGATTTCATGATACTGATGGAATCGAACAACCACATCATCAATTTCTTCAAGAGACATCTCTGTGATGATGTTGCAGTGGACAAGGTAATAAAACTCGAGGAGTGGGCAGAATGCATGGACAATATCTGTTGGGACATAGCCTTCCATTGCTGGCAAATATATCT